TAGAAACTAAAGGATTTGTGATCTTACACAAACAGGAGAAGTTGCTGATAGAAGAGAACCAGGTTCTGGCTAGTCAGGTAACAAAGACACAATCTGTTATGCTTCTAGAAGCTGAATAGTCCCTTTTATGATATATACCATAATTTATGTTTCTTGTTAATATTCAGTAGCAGTAGAAAATAAATTTTAGAAAACTTCTTACGGATTTAGGTTACATGCTTAATTTTGAGCGAAATTGATAAATTTAATAGATTAAATTTGCCAAAAAAAAGAAGATGCTTTTTAATACAGATTCATTTCTTGTTAATATGTAGTTTAGCTGCAGTAGAAAGAGTTATGTAAGAAAGTTTTTTACAGATGGGGAGGAACACGTCCCTGGCATCAGAGGATGAGAGAGCAATGTCACCGGAGACTCTCTCGCTGCTCAATTGACCACCATGATCCAACGGCTGAGTGTTCACCTTAACTCAAAGCCTGCTTATACAGAATTTAAAATAAAATTTTGTAAATTATAAAAAGCTGCATAACCTCAAACCCTTTATCTTCCTCTCTAGTGTGGAAAACTCAAGGTAAAGACCAGCAGCTCTTATCCATGAAATATAATTGTGAAACTGAAAAAGATCAAGTAACTTTATCTTTGTTGTACCTTCGTAGACAAGATCAGAGAGTACTGCGTGTGTTTGTGTTCTTCTCTGAAAGTACGGATTTTATTAAAAAGGTTTCGCTTTACTTCTGCGTGAAGAACCCTATAGAGCTTATTTATTCTTTTTGTTTTTGATAGTTGCTTGATTACTTATCTTACGTTTGGGTCTGACTGGTAAGTTAAATAGAAGAAATTTTTTTCCTTTCATATATTCTGGGCCTTCAAATTTTTTTATTTTTATCTTCAAATTTCCTAGAGCTTATTTATCCTTTTTGTTTTCTCTTATTTTATTGCTTGGTTAACTTAACCATGTTATTAATTAGTAGTTTTTATAATTTGTCCTTTGGGTAATTTTTTGAGGATCTCGAGTAACTAATAACAAACACGTTTTGCTTATTACACAATAACAAAACTTGGAAGGTCTTCATTACGTCAGGTCAGGGGCTAATGTAATAAGACTATAAGAGCATCTTTAATGGTGTGGTGACGTCAAAATTCATACGTATAGATTGTCCAATGGCCTCGCAACACGTGGCAAACCCCCCCCCCCCCCCCGATACGCTTGCATCTCTGCAGTGAGAGCACTGAAGAAGTAGGAAACCCCGTTAGATTCCAGAACCTTGATGGAGGCGGATGCT